AATCCTACAAAAAAAGGAAAACTATGGAACCAGGAAACTACAAGCCAATCATCCTGAGATCAATACTTGGGAAGATCCTGGACAAGATAATAAAACCATTGATAATAAAACAGCCCAGAAACAAACAAAGGTATTACTAGAAGCCAACATGGGTTTGTCAAAAACAGATCGTGGCAGACAAAACTTACTATTCTTTGACAGAATCAGTGGAACAGCAAAACTATCTGTGTTTCCCGGTTTTATAATTTTTTTGCCTCAAAAACACGAATTAGGTTTTATTTTTGGGGGGTGTCTTTTACAGTCTCGCCTTGCAGCTGCGGCACCAACCCTGCCCAGCAAGAGCCTATGTGGCCACCGCTGGCCCACTTCTTCTGCGGCCGTTCGCACACATCACCCCCCGGCCTCTGTTTCACTGGCAGAGGCCTTCAGGAAAGGCCTCTGCAGCCAAGAACGGAGCTCTGGGTGGACGCGCATGTTGCCCCCGGCCTCCGTTTCAACAGCAGAGGCCTTCAGAAAACCTTCGCGTCAAGCCGGAGCTCCATTCTCGATTGCAGAGGCCTTTCCTGAGGCTTCTGCTGGTAAAACAGAGGTCAGGCACGAGCGGCCGCAGAAGTGGGCCAGTGAGGCAGGTGTCGGGGCGTGGAAGGAGCCTGAAACTGCGGAGGAAAATGACCTGGAACGGGACCCTATGGAGTCCGAGGGAGAGGTGTTTGTGGTTTCAAAGGAATTTGGGGAAGAGCAGGCCGGGGCAGGCCAGGGCCCTTCAGGATTGGGACAGGAGGAACAGGAGAGGCAGAGTTCAGGCGATGAGCAAGGGCCACCCCCATCTGATCCTAGAGCACGGAGAGTGGAGAGAAGGAGGGAACAACACAGGCAGGCTCAGTTACTCGGGAGGAGAGCGCCCCGCCCCTCTCCACAAGGCACACCTGGAGACTGAGATTTAAGGAGACGCTGTGGGGAGAGGCATTTGTCGGGAACAAACGCTGATTCCTTGGAGTGTTGTGTTGCTGATCTCTTGTTCTGTGACTTCTGCTTGGAAACCTGGAAACTCTGACCATTGGACTGGTTGACAACGTTACTTGGGTGTTCAAAGATCTCGGACTGTATTTTGGCTTCCCTTTTGAAACTGCTCAGGCAAGCATGTATTGACACCGACTTGTTAGGTTTATGATGTATGTGTCATTCCTTGTTATCTCCGTGGCCTTGAGTAAATTCCTCTCCTAATCAGACTGTATGTGAAACTACTTGCAGCCGGAGGCGGCTGAAGGTGTGTGTGTCTTCCTTTGTTTGGAGGCTTGACAGAAATGTGGGAGCATTTGGGGAAAATTTGGAGCAATTAAAGGGCGGTTTGAATTGCCAGCTGACTGATAAAGTAGACCTTGGCAAGATAGAAAAATATAGGATAAACAGCATCACTACGAGATGGGTTCGTAACTGGCTGACAAAATGCACTCAATGTATACTCCTCAAAGGAAGTAAGATGCCTTCATCCAGCACCTTGGGAGCAAAACCCAATTTCACTGCATTACTGTTTTGTCAAATAAACGTTAAAAAATATATGCTTATTCTCCAAACCAAGATTTAACCAAGATTTGTTTACTCACCTTTAAAGTTATAGCCAAGAGATCTCTGGGTCACTTGTTTCCACTCTGAGTCAAGGCCAGGGATGACGGTCACCGCTGATTTCTCCTTAATCGATTGGCCCTTTTTGCAGGAAGCTGCTTCTCCAACTCGGCCACGATTTCCAAATTCTCTAGAATGGAGTCCCGGCCAAAAGTTGGTGGGTCCCGATCCAAGAACGGCCCTTATCCTCTGTGGAGCTCATGGCCACATCCTCACTGGTCTCCTGCAAAGAGAAATGAGAAAGGCTCAGATGCCGACAGTAATGCTGAGCATAATCTATAAATGACCTGGAAGAGGGAGGAGAATATGGAATTATTTGTTGAGGATCCACAATAATAGAGATAGAATTGTGATTCAAGATCTTGATGATTTGTGATTTTTTGTGATTTTATTAGATTTATACCCCGCCCTTCTCCTGGCGGACCCAGGGCGGCTTACAGCAAGCTAAAAACAGATAAAGACCCTACAAACACCATTTTAAAATATAATTAAAAGAAATATTAATTTTGCCGTTTCATTTAAAATTTTGTTAACACCCAATATAAAATCAAATTAAAATCCAATCTAAAATACCC